CACACACACACACACACACACACACACACACACACACACACACACACGCAAACACAAAAACACACATACACACACGGGCGCGCACGCTCGCCCTTTTTCCGGTTGGAAAACGAAATGTGGCGTTTACGAAGGGAGGAGGGTGAACGGAGGAGGCAGGAATGGAGGAGGGATGGTGATGGTGCCTCTCTCTCTCTCTCTCTCTCTCTCTCTCTCTCTCTCTCTCTCAAAAAGCAGTTCGAAGGTCGACAGGCGGAGAGGAGAAAAAAAGAAAGTCCACTGGTCTTCGAGCGGCGAACGTTAGCGGGGGGAGCAGCGAGCCGGTGGGGGGAGTATGGTGATGGGCAGGAAGAGTTTGGGTGCTGGGGACGTTGGTTGGAGGTGAGAAAGAGAGAGAAAGACTCACTTGAGTGAGCCATGTCGACAAAGTCTCCAACCAACAAAGCACAAGCCTTCGGCCCAGCGGTCCAAGTTCACGAAAGTAGACAAAGCCTCGAGCTCACGTAGCAGGAACCCACGTTGAAGTTCACGTAACACGAAGCACCAAGCACCGATTTCATGTACCACGTAACACAGAGAGAGAGAGAGAGAGAGAGAGAGAGAGAGAGAGAGAGAGAGAGAGAGAGAGAGAGAGAGACCCTCCAAACACGTGGCACCAATTCGTGCATAAATTCACGTAGCACGTAGAGACTAGCACCAATTCACGTTGCACCGATTCACTTAACAGCACTTCACGGTTAACGAAGCACGTAGTACGTTGCAGGCAACACGGTGCATGACGCACGTTCCACCAATCCGTTCCGTCGCACCAATCCACGCAGCACAAACCACCGAGCACGCCGCACGGAACGGAACACCAACCCACGAAGCGCGTAGCACCAAAGCATGAATCACATAGCGCCAAAACACGAAGCCACGGTTCAGGTAGCGCACAGAGAGAGAGGGAGAGAGAGGGGAGGTGGCGATACGGTGCGTAAGTCGAGTAGGGCACGCCGCTTAGGGCACGCCGCAGAGGGCAGACTACCATCTTCGCCCGAACATAACGCACCCTAAAAATGAATGTATAGAAGATATATTTCCAGCCAGATACCCCCAAAATGAGGGTGCGCTGTGCTCGGGGGAAGACGCTAGGTTGTTTAGGTTGTGCATGTTAGGTCGGCCAGGGCGCTACCGTTAGGTCCCATGGGGCGTGGGCCGTGGGGCGTGGGGCGTGGGGCGTGGGGCGTGGGACGGTAGGGCGGTACTGGGCAAGGTCGTGTAGGGGGCTACGGTTAGGCTCCCTGTAGGCGGTCTCGGCACTGGCCAAGGTCGTGTAGGGGGCTACCGTTAGGTGTGTAGCGCTGTGCCGGCCCAGCACAGGTACCTTTCGCAAAACGATCTGGGTCGTTCGCGCAAAGGGCGGCCTGCATCTCAGGCAAGAAAGAAATTTGCAGCCCTTATGGTTGCCGTATGCTGCGGCCCGACATTTAATCATGAAGGTAGTCTCTTATCATGGTGTTGGATCCTGAGTCTTTATGGTTTTGTCTTTTGTTTTCAAACTCGCTACGAAGTTGCCTTTACTGGTGCCCCTCTTATGATTCACAAATGGATTGCTTTATTTTCTCAGTTTTATAATGTTTACACCACCAGTACCTCTGTCAGTGTTGGGAAATTACAATGTACTGGTTTGTCCCCGAATAAATCGGTGGTGGGACCCAGGGTCGGCGAGTCCCATAAATCTTAGTTTTCTTCTGTCAGCGCGTAAAAGAAAAAGGGGAAACAAAAAAAAACTTATGTACTGCAATGATGTCGGGCAAGGCAATCTAGGAGGTCGTGCTCACAGTCTTCCTCTACATAATGCATCCTACAACAAAGACGATCACATTCTAAAACTTGTTGTTCTCATTTCTTATTTCTCGTTTGTTTATTATAAGTCCCCTGCCAACGAGGCAAAGCGGAATCCGTGAGTTGCACTGACTGTATTTCCTTAAGAGGATTGTAACCCTGATGTATCCATCTATTTTCACGGTCGAATCCGTGTTTTCGTTTTTTTTTTTTTTTTCTGTTTTTGAAATCTGACAATCTGAATCCGTGATCTGTTTGGGTTGTGTTCCCTCAAAGAATTGTAACCCTCATCACACTCGCACTTAGAGGAACGTATCCAACCATTTTCACGGCCGAATCCGTGTTTCTGTTTTTTATTGGTGTGTGTGTGTTTAGAATCTGACCACTTGGCTACGGGGTTGAGATGCCCTCACTTAGGGCACAATCACGACCAGAGCATTGTTTCTTTTTCTTTTTTTTTTAGTTTCACGATTGAAACTTTTATTTTATTTGTTCTTTTTGTTTTTTCTCCCCATGAAAGTACCATAAAGAAATGGAGTGGGACCCAAGATCGGCAAACTCAGAGCGCAGTGAAATTCAGGATCAGCAAAAACAGACTCGGAGGTACTGGTGGTTTAACTTCCAATCCTTTTCTTCAATTTTTTTTTTTAAGCACTGATTCGAAAAAATAATTTAACTCTGTACTGCAAGACCTCAATTGGCTATACATCCTTCTTGTATTTATGCAGGATACGTTACCAGTAATATTGGTTTTTATTTATTTATATCCGAAAAAAAAAAAAAAAACATTGCGCGTGAAATCAATGAAAGTGGGAAGCTGAAAGATCACTCTGAAAAATGAAGGGAGTGATCTTACGTTTTGTGTTTTGCACCATAATGTGACCTTTTGTGGTCCTTTCAATGCTTTCAGCCGACCGATTGACTTACAGTGAAAGCAGGGGTGCGTTGGGGAGCCGTAAGGTAGTGATTATGTTACATTTATGTTTTGTTATGTTTGTTATACACAACTCCAAGAGTGTGTGTGACGGGAGTCGTGGTGGGTGGTTTATTCACAATTTACATGGGACGCTGGACCCGTTTTCCATAGGTCTCGCTCCCCACTAATATAGACAGGAGCATTTTGTCGAAAGTCCACTAAAGGGGGATGCTCATATCACCCCTCTAGTGGGCTAAAGCTAACGTTTTGAGGGGAAAAAAAAAACAAATTTATGCGCGTGCATGTGCACCTGGATATCACCCCTCTAGTGGGTTAAAACTAACGTTTTGAGGAAAAAAAAAAAAAAATTGTGCGCGTGCATGTGCACCTGGATATGTGAGAGTAAGTGAGTGTGTATGTGTGTGTGTGTGTGTGTGTGTGTGTATGTGTGTGTGTGTGTGTGTTTGTGTGTGTGTGTGAGAGAGAGAGAGAGAGGCATGCAACATGCAACATGTCAATGGCGGGAAGCACAAGGGCAAGTCATAACCTCGAAAAAAAAAAAAAGTAATGTCATATTCGAATAATGAGTTTTATCTTTTCGGAAGTCGAATATAAAAGGTATGTGTTGTTATCGAATATAACTCGTACGTGGTCTACTCAACATCCCCTTCTGTTTTAGAACAGTTGGCCAACGTCATTTCAATTTCGAAATGTTCAACTCAAGGACCACGGCCTCATCGGCACCCTGCGGGCAGTTACCGCTCCTCTGCAAGCAGAACCGCCCGTTACCAATTAATTGACCTCCAAGCAAATTCACCACCCGTCCAACTACCCTTTGAACCTGAATGGATACCCCATACTACCTAGAGCTAATCCAAAATCACTAACTCGATTCACGAGCATTGCTTTAATAACTGTTTTATTCGCTTGGAGTTGTGTAAATAAAAAATTAGTTAACAACTTTCATAACAATAATTGAATTGGAATTAATCGCTAGATAAATTATTCGCTGCAATCGTTTTGCGTGGGAGCCTCTAAAAAACATATAGGAGGTTAAGCATAAAAAAAATAATAATAATAAAACAATCCGTTTGTGAATCATAAAAGTGACACCAATCAACACAAGCTGGACACAAAGTGATATTGTTTGCTATTGATCTTAATGGTTAATAGCTGAACGTTTTATAACATATTATTTGATATTTGGCGTGGTTTTGTTATACAATCCGCAAAATATCTATCAAATTACTTAATTCAATATTGATATAAAATAATTAAGTACGTTTGACTTCATAATAAGTTTTTACCACGACGTTAACTTGACCTTGTATGAGTCAAATACAAATTTGATTTTTTTTTTTTAATTAAAAAAAAACTCATTGCTTCGCACGTATTTTTTCCATCAATCAAATTCAAGGCTACGTAACATAAAGATAATGTATTGGACTGCAAATCCACGAATAATGGTTCGAATCCATCCTTAGCCTATTTACTCGGCAATTTAAGAAAGTTGAGTTTCTTTGATGCCGTCTGTCTATAAGTGAATTCGAACCACTAATACAAGGATTTCCAGTCTGATCAGTACAACGAAGGACGACGAACTTGATTCATGGGTATAAAGTACATCCCTGTTAGGCCGCAAACAACCTTAACTACCGGTACATCCAGCTATCAGTTTTGCACCCCTTTTGGAGGTCACTCGACGTCAATTTGATTTATTTATAGTGTTGGGTCGCTGAAAATTTCATACGCGACGGTTTTTCTTTTCAGCAAGGTTGGGGCCGTGTACTGGCGGTTTAAGCGAGCAGTATCTCGCCCAACCAAAAAAAAGTCGACGCGGTCGTTAATGCGCTGTTGTTAACAGGGGTTAGGGAGGTCAGCGCAAAGTTGTTCTCAAAATCATATAAGGCAAAAGGAATAGAAAAAAAATTAAAATAAACACTATTCCTACAACTGCGTGGGTGGTCTCTTTAAGAGAGAAATCATAATAATAATAATAATAATAATAATAATAATAATAATAAAAAATAATGTAAAAAAAAAATGAATCTTACATGGGCAGGGAGAACGATGCATTATCAATTTGCACATCGAGGAGAGGGGGGAAGACAGAAAGAGAAAAAAAAAAAAACGGCATTTTTGTTGCGCAGTGGTACAATAAACGCATCGTCGCCTCTCTCTCTCTGTTGATCTTCCGACACGTGTCTGTGAAAAATAAGAATGTTTTTGTGGAATATCTCCATACGATATCATAGATCATGAAAAAAATTGACAATAGTTTTCTTGTACAGGGTGGATTGCCAAAGTTTTTCCCACCAAATATAATTTAACTTTTCAAATTTGTAGTATTTTCTGATATGGGCAAGGAAATGAACCATTTTGCTTAGAAACAATATTAAAATTGTTTGTTTACTTCTAGGCTACGAGTCGGGCCGCCCAGGTCACCCTATTTTTTTGGGCGGCCCGGCCGTGCAAGGACCAACGAAGGTCCCAGCCAAAAAAAAAAAAAAAAAAAAAAAAAAAAAAAAAACTATATCATGCAGAAAAATAAATTGAACAATGTTTGCCTCTGGATCACATCGAAATTCTTTACCAAATTAAAAATTAAATTTTAAATTAAAAAATAATTTTTTTTTTTTACTTTTATATTTTTTTTTTGCTCGACCAGGCAAGTGGACTCGGGCCACTCTCGTAGCCGAGGCTTACTTTTAATTATACTATTGACTTAATTTTTCTTCTTAGTGATATAAGTTAAAATTATTATTCTTAAAAACAATGTTCAATTGCCTGTTCACATGCAAATATATGTATCAACCCTCTTATGTGGCCACATACATTTTGTATGTATAACGTACGGAAAACAAAAATCTAAAAAAAATGTGAAAAAAAAAAATACTACATAACATTGTCTGACAAGCAATGTTTGTCTTAAGCAACAAACCAAAATTCTTATAAAAATACGAAAAACAAAGTAAAAAAAATAAAATTGTAATTAATAAACACATAATCACTGCAACGAAAATATGTCTGTGTATTCACATGTGTGTATGTGTGATCAGAAAGAACACATTTACACTATCAAACATACACACAC